TTAAAAGGATGGGCCTCCCAATGAGATTGTAGATATTGATGAGTGGTGGTGCACTGGGGGAAATAAGGTGAGTAAAAAAAGCTTTAACTTATTAAAGGGGGCCGCACATCTAAACAGTTACTATAAATACTCTAGCAGGAATAGATGTGTTCCTTTAATTTGCCTTCGAATGGTCCTTTTAATTGGTCTTTGATAAATATCAAATTCCTATACTTTATATATTTTTTGCATACATGCAGTGTTATTTATTAATGTGTAAACTGCTTGGAATTCAAAATTAACTCAAAGTGAATTTCAAATTTTATATCGGATTCTGATAATTCCTTATGTTTAAATGCAGAGACATATACGGCATATCGCGAACAACTCTCAGCAGACTCTGAAAAAATAAAAAAAATGTTTAGGTTCTCTGCTATTCTCTGTTTGGAAGGATTTCGTAAAGACAAGTGAGGATGACTCCACATTGACAGATGGAAGTGCAGTTTATTCATACTGAGAAATGATATGTCATGCTGACCTCTGACCCCTGACAGCTCATCTCTCACCGTGATCAACTCCACAGGAGCAAAAGGTGCATTGATTTCCATGTAATACAACAAAATATTACATTTGCCTAATTGTTACACAGTGACAGTGTTAGGCAAGAAATCAAATGTCTGTTTAATGCAGCTTGCAGCTCGCAGCCGCCGGATCGATCAGGCAGTTTGTCAGAGGAGCTCTCCGAGGGGTTTGCTCTGCCGCTGATCGGAGACTGTGCCTCGTTATTTGTATTTATTGGAAATCAGGTGCAGTGTCAGCAGTACATGTTATCTGAAATCAAAACAGCTCTGCGGGAGGGAGGGGCCGTATTAGAGACTGTGTTCACTTAGGTAATTAAAAGTCATTTTACAAGGGTCTGGAGGAGATCAAAGCGCAAGGGTCTACTGACCCAGTCCTATGTTTGAAACAGAATCCACTCATGGCTGGTTTATTTTTATTAACCATTAGGACTACTCCTAATCCATTTACAGACGTGGCCAGCTGATTATTAACAAAACATAGAAACATAGAATATGACGGCAGATAAGAACCATTTGGCCCATCTAGTCTGCCCAATTCTCTAAATACTTTCATTAGTCCCTAGTTACCAGAAATAACTGCCAAGTCCCACGGATGTGATTATGGTTTTCCAATTAAATTGGTTGAACAGGCAAAGCACAAGGGAATGTATTTTCATCATGCGCATGTTTTAAGACCGCTCACAGAAGAAAAAAGGCGGTGGCACTCTGGCTCTCCCATAAAACCTAGTTTATTCTATGTCTCAAAGCTAGCAACAACCTTTTCCAGAGTACACGGCACCCAGACCACTTCATGGAGTTGTAGTGGTTTGGGTGAATTTAGAGTTTTTTTAGGAAGTATACTTCAACAGCTTAATATAGTGAACCTGCGTTGAAATAGAGAGTAGACATGGCAGAATCTTTCAAATGCTTTATTTTCTGCATAAACACATAGATGGAGTCTGCAGATACAAATCAGAACACATTGCGGGCATCTTCTCTCTGCCACTCTTGGAAATTCACCTCCTTTGCCCCGAATAGGAGGTGTTTTACTAGCTGTTTTGCATCTCTACACTTTTTTTTTTTTTAAGACGCACTTTAGTGGTTTTTAATAGTAAATGATAAAACAAAGACCTTGTTTAAAAAAACAAAAACTGATATTTTTTAACTAATCTGTCATTTAGTGACTAGTTGGTGGTAATTATGGTGAACAATTTCTGCCACATTGACAGCTCTAAGTAGACAGCCAAATCATGCTGCTATTCTGTTATATCATTCTTTATGCTAAAGTATAGGTAAGTTCAAAACAGCTCTGTCACTTTGCAGGTTTTGTTTTTAAATGAATCCTTTTTTTGTCTCTCTATTTCTGCTTGTTTTTACTTTTTTGAAATTCACCGTTCTTTTATTTCTACATAAGAATAAGTACTACTGAGAAATGATATGTCATGCTGACCTCTGACCCCTGACAGCTCCTCTCTCACCGTGATCAACTCCACAGGAGCAAAAGGTGCATTGATTTCCATGTAATACAACAAAATATTACATTTGCCTAATTGTTACACAGTGACAGTGTTAGGCAAGAAATCAAATGTCTGTTTAATGCAGCTTGCAACTCACAGCCGCAGGATCGCCAGGCTACTTTTTCTCATGGGGAGCATGATTGTTGGCAATATGCACAGCTTAAGTAAGATTCCATTTTTAGTTGCTCAGCTAATTTACCAACAATTCATCAGTCAAAAGAATCCCATAGAAGGACAAACTGCAGATATCATGGACAGAGGGGAACAAAATGGAGGCACCCAGGTCCAGTGCAAGATAGGACACATAAATATACAAATACAAAGAAAGGCAAATAACAGGAGAGTGAGTATAACCATTAAGATACAAGGGTCATAAGGAAAAGTAAAGGGGAAAAAAAACATGATGCTTTAAGCTAGGCAATATTTCTATGTATTGTTTTGGTGGTGTCCCAATCAGTTAAATCTTGGATTGTTTAAGACTAGTTCTTGTGTTCAATAAAACATCTGGGGCATTCCTAACCCCATGAACGTGGGTGTTGTCTCTTGTTATTTGGGGGGCATGGTGACAGAGCCTTCAAACCTGTAAGCATAATCAGTTGGGCCCGTGAGACAAAAAAATGTTGGAATTGATATTGATAACTGCATGCAAACAGGAGCGGTCAGAGAAGTAACTGACAGTCCAGTGGGTAGAGGGCAAGATATTAGCTGAAGAATCGTGGCAGTGGTTTCTGGTGCCGGCGTAGAAGGGTCAGACAATATACAGGGCAGGTCTAGATTCCAAGTTGGGGACCAGTCTACTCTGTTCCCTTTACAATAAATGGAAAATTGCAGGATGCCCCTTCTCTGATATGGGTGGTCCAAACCACTGCCTGAATCAGACCTCTGTTGAGAAGTCTCACCAGAAGCTGTACCTTGGTGTATGGAGCTGAACTATTACTGGCTTGAGCAGAGCACTCAAATATATTCTTGAGTCCATTGGAAGAGTGGCCAGCAATAAAAGTAAATTTACCTGCATCGCAGACCTCCCGGAGGGAAACCGGGAGAGGAAAAGCTCTACAAATTCTGCATAAAGAGAGTTCACCAGAGAACTAGGACCCTTTTCTGTCAGTTTTTGGTCTTTTTCCGCCTGGAGATAGTGGTTTAGCTAGTGGATGAAGTTAATAAAATGCTATATGAACGGGAGAAGAGAATGGTCAGAGAAAGACTTGCTGAAATGGAACAGGTCAACCAGCTAAAACTGTTGAACCTACAGCAGAGATCAGGGGAAGCCCATCCCCCACTAAGTGACAGTAACAAAATTAGAAGAAAGCTGCACAGAGTCGGAAGGCGATATTGATGGATACTTACAGTTGGTTCTCCATGGTTCGGATTGAGTTACTATACTGGGTAGTAAGCTGTTTAGTCATGTAGGAATGGCTCACCAGCAGTGCCAGAAGATTAATTTTGAAAAAGGGACCAGGACACTCACAAGGAATGGTTTTACCATTTACATTGAGCCTTTTAATACTGGGGACAAGGGTGCCATGTCACGAAAATGGAAGATGGATTGCAACATATACTTGTGGAGGAGTTTTATTTACATTTAACACCTCAAATTCGGGACTGGGAGGCCAGCACCCACTAACAGGAGAGGAAATTGCATGCTTGGAGAATGAGTATGTGGACACTAGGAAATGTACTCAATCCATACAGCTGTTGCCCTGACTGCAAAGTTGGACACCGTCACTTTCCATCATAATGCCAGGTCCGGACCTACACAAACCATACATGGCAGGGCCTCGGCAGCCCTGAGGTGAAGTGCATTGCTCACTTGTAAACAACCAGGGCACATTAAAAGTAATTACACTGTGCATCAAGAAATACTCTCAACCTGCCCTCCAAGTTTGCTGCCCTGTCAATTCAGAGAGCCAGAATATGTGGTTACTCTTGTTATCAGCAGGGACACATTGGGAGTAAATGTCCATCACACAAGATATGCAAACACATGCCATAGGGAAGGGATGAATGACATCATAGAGAGATATGTCTGGATCCAAAGCTGGGGACCAGACTGTTCCCATTACATTCCTTTGCTTATAGGCATATCTGAAGGGGACTTACAAATGCCAAAAACCAGCAAATTGATATAAAAAATATACATATCTGAAGGTACTTTATTTCTTCTCCGGGATGTCTGTTGTAATGATTATGAATGGATGCGAATCCACCAACAATTACCATATTTTTTTTTCCTTCGCAGTACTGGTATTGGAGTTTGGAACTAAAACTGCACTTACGGTAGAGTAAATATATCATTTATTCCTAGGGCCACGTTTGTAGTTTTTCTGTGTCAAAGATCCGGCAACCTGGTATCAGAAGTGTTAGATACCGACAAGAAAATGAAACATATATACATGTATCAGCTTTTAGGCTAGCACAATATATGGAGACTCTGTTGATGAAATGGGACTTTTTATCCTGAGTACTTTTAATGTTCACTTTCATGTTTAATAAAGTTTTTTTAATTTTAGTAGATGCATTCACATTTATAACAACACACTAAAGTACAAAAAGTCCCATCATGCTACATTACATGTATATAATTTTTTAAATATGAAATCTCATTTAAACATACACTTTTTAATGATTATTGCATAAAAAGTTATTTATTTTTTTTATTGTCTCTTCGTAAAATCTTTTTTATTCAGACTAAAAGTGTTCTGTACCTGGGACGTGTTTTGGACATTATGAAAGCTGGTTTCGTTTCAATTCAACTATGACTTTTCACTACAAACATTGTACACAGCTGTGTTTTCGACTCTAAAATGTGAGGTTTTTGTTTCCCTTATGTAAAAATTTCCTGCAACACTCAAAACCCACACAATAATTAAAAAAAAAAAAAAAATACAAAGAAAGAGGAAAGAAAAAGAAAATACTAATTGTAATAGTTTTGTACCTTGATAACCACTACAGCTTCTAAAAGTTGTAGTTGTCTTCCTGCACAAGTTATGCTGAACCATTTAGAAGGCCTGCAAGACCAGGAGCTCTGTATAGGTCCAAATAAACTATACCCAACATTATTTCTGCAACAAAATTACAAATGATCGATTTTTGTATAATACATGACTTTGTTTTCCCTGACCAACTAAAAAAAATGATTTTTTTTTGTCCTAGTGCTCATTGTTCATACTGTATTTCAAATATATATATATATTTTTTTTTGCAAAGAACATTGTAGTGAAAGGCGTTGACCTGTTTTGTTATAAACACCATACTCTATGATGCTGGTTTCACCTCTTTCGATTTTGAAACTTTTTTTTCTGGTTTTGTACACTGTCACATTGTGACACAGTATTGAAGAAGGACAGCGATGCTTTAGAATCTAGGTTCATATTTTTGCTTTATTTATATTGGTCCGAACAATACTGCAGAATGGGATCATAAATAAAGTCTCAACCCAAATAATATAATCATAAATAAATGGACCACTAATGCAATAACTCATTTCGAGGATTGAGCTACACAGCAGGAGACTGTGACAAGGTTAGATGTCAGTGAATTGGTGGAGATAATATGAGAAGGATCTGTAGATGATGAGACAGTCAGGGAGATGGTGAAACTTGATGGAGAGGAATAATTGATGACCTAGGAAGTAAAAGTCCAGAAAATAAAAGGGTCACCTATGTAAAAAAAAGAAAATAGTGCTTCTCAAAACATCGCCCCTTCATCCTCCTTGATGAGGAAGTAGATTGTCACAGGCCCACAGCTGGTAGGGACAGTCTCAGTAACCCGGGCGAAGAGCCAAGATCCCAAGCCGTACATGAGTGTTGGAATTCCTGCAGAGGGCACAGACAATAGGTCAAAACAAGGTCCGATGGAGCATCCCCCTCCCTCTCCTCGCATTAGTCTTGCTTTCACATATTGCCAGTTCTGACTTTCACTATTGTGCTAGCAGTAAAAGGATAAGTTTATTTTATTTATTTATGTTAGGAGCATCTCCACAGCTTTACTAATGAAAGGCAGCCAGAGAGATAATAATGCGATTAATATGAAACCCATAATAACCCGCTAACATAATGGGCTGTTCTAACCAACGGCAGCAAGGGAGATTTTAATAAGCTGCGATAATAAAGCAAAGTAATTAATCCCAGCCATATGGATAAGCAGCCACAGGAAGCCACGCTCCACATATTCTGTTTGAAAAGACAATTGATGGCCTTTATAAAGCTAAATATTTAATAAGCCTTGGGTGGGAGGCAGGATGGAGTGTGTGGGGTGTAATTACAGTATCTCTCCATCACTTACCTAGATTTATGGCTTTCAGTGCAGTGAAGAGGTGGTTGTGGAGCTGCAGGTCCTGGGGGGCAGCACGGGAGCAGTGATATTTAATAAATGGGAAGCAGCCTGTTCGTAGGACATGGTAATTTGTGCCTTGTACTTCCCAGTTGAAGTTGGACAGCGCAAACTGGTCGTTTGTGACGGCACTGTACTTCACGCAGTATGAAGTCCAGTGCGGTAGGTTTCGCTGTAGAAGATGTTGTGTCAGGACCTCAGAAGCCTTGGGACGGGGATGCCCTCTCAGTCCTGCTGGGAAGTGGAGAATTCGTAGAAAGATCTCATGGACGGTCTTCGCTACCAGCATACCTATAAATAGAGACAGTGTGTAGCCCATGCACTGCATCAGGAGCAGGGAACTTCATAAGCACATTTTATACTAATAAAATTACCCAGAATTATACGGTCTTAGTAACACTTGTGATTTACACTCTATTTGTTTTAATGTGTTTTGGTTTTGTTTGTTTTTTTTTGTTTTAACTGTTGTTTGAAAAACAGAATCTTATTTGTTTGGCAAATTTGATGTTACGTGCAAAGGCAGTTCAGTATAATTTTGTTTCAGCATCAAAAAAATATATACATATATACTTAGCACTCTACAATGACACGGACACAGAGTCCGGTGGCAGGGAAAGATGAGTTCTACTTACCTGAACCTGATCTGCACCGTTCTCTTCAGGAAGCACAAGCAGCCAACGTCACTGCTGTAGTATAGCACTGAGGTCTATGAAGGATCCTGTGAGACCACATTATCCTCCATACACAGAGCCAATTCCCTGAAGTCGTCACTGGTGACGGCTGGGGGACTGACACTTCTAGGCAGTGGTAGCTCTTCCCAGTGTCTATGAATGTCAAGAGTAGGAAAAATACATAAGATAAAATAGTTAGATTTAATAGATTAAAAAAACAAAAAACAAAAAAAACAAGGGAATGGAAGAGAGTAGAAAAAAGAAAGGAAGCAATTGGGAAAAAGACAGAGTGACAGTGCTGCTTTAAGACACCCAGGTCATCCTGCGCTGGACAGTTTGCAATTTAGAACTTCCGCTTTAGTGGTTATGCTACTGAAATGGTGATGGAAAGGCGTTTATCTTAAAGTTGTAATATCATACCAAGACATCCTTTACTGCTCATTAAACGTCTCTGCTGCGTTTACAAAACATGATAGTTGCTAACAGTTCCCACTCCTCTTTATTAGCAACATAAAGAGAAGGATCCTGCTCTATTAATTATGGAGGTGAAGCCGGCCTTGTTTGTGTCTTTGTATGATTAATAAACAGCAGCACCTGCCATTTTTAGTGCAGTAAATAAACAGGGAGCTGATTAATTATCAAGCTCAGACTGCACAGCTCAGCGATTCCTAGAAATCACACGAAGAACAAAAACTAAACATTTCGCAAACATTCTGTTTTATATTTAAAGAGACATTTTTGGTAAGATCACAGAGATAGACTAGCTGTTATAGACATTACATTTAGCAGTCTACGGGTTAGTGACTGATACCGTTAACCCTTAAAGCAAGATTGCAGGAGAGTCCAGGAGGCATCAACAGGCCCAATGTGATCCACAAAGGATTCTACTGCAGTGATAATTAAACAACGTTATGGCAAAGTTCACCCACAATTTGCCAAATAGATGCCAATCAAAATCAGTCTGCAATCAATTCTCAGCAGACGCAACATTCAGATACAGGAATCATCAGACAGGTAACTAGATGTGTATGAAAGTAATTATACAATATTGCTGCGCCCACTGTCAGTTCATTCAGTGAAATTAAGTTGGTTACAGCAGATCAGTCACTTGTATGCATCTTTATACAAAGACCTCCAAATGGATGATGATGCATGGAGGTAGAATGGGAAGTTCTCCCTTCTTCCAGCTCCTGGCAGATGATCCTACCAGGAACACAAAACTTTCTGTACTCTCATGCAAGCTAAACAGTATAAAACAGGAGTCTTGAATATCTTGGATCATTTTGCATATGCCCAAGGAGATGTCATGGGCACAATGTATTGCACAAGCCTTTTCTCATTAGCCATTGGAAGTGGCAGCAAAATATATTACATGAAATGAATATTTAAGTTTCACCATACTTTACATTTAGTTGAAAATACACAAGACAATGCAGTCTTTTTTTTTTTAATTCACAAATATTATGATGTATTGATTTATTCTTTCAGCATCTTTTAACAAAAGCACTGCGTAAAGAAGGAACCTTTTATAAGTGTCCATAATTGAATTCCAAAAGTATTGTAAACACACACACTTAAAGAGACTCTCCAGTGCCAGGAAAACATATTCGTTTTCCTGGCACTTTCTTTCTCCCACCCCCCATCCCATGTTGCTGAAGGGGTTAAAACCCCTTCACTGACTTACCCGAGTCCAGCGCAAGGCTCTGCCTACTCTACTCCCCAGCCGACGTCAGCCGGTGGGGGAGACCAGATGCGCATGGACGGCAATGGCCGCGCATGCGCATTAAACCTCCCCACAGGAAATCATTATTCAATGCTTTCCTATGGGGATTTCGGCGACGCTGGAGGTCCTCACATAACGCGAGGACGTCCAGCGTCAATTAAAACACTTTTCGTGTTCTAAGAACACGGAAGTCCCTCTAGTGGCTCTCTGATAGACAGCCACTAGAGGAGGACTTAACCCTGCAAGGTAATTATTGCACTTTATAAAAACTGCAATAATTACACTTAAGGGTGGTGGGAGTGGGCACCCAGACCACTCCAATGGGCAGACGTGGTCTTGGTGCCTGGAGTATCCCTTTAAATAGTTAGATTTGGGAAATTAAGCTCAATTTTCATGGGTGTGCATCATCTGTGCATTACATATAGGAGAACACACAAAGACAAAGGTTACATACACAGCAAATATATTGAGGATTTAATCTGATGGCGCTATATAAATAATATAATAATAATAATAATGGTTAATTTCTTTTAAAAAAAAAATTCAAATTAGCTTTCATTAAAAAACTCTGAAGAACACAAAAAATACAATTGTCTGTCAGATAAAAAGCACATATATTTTTGAGGTTGACACTTTTCGGAATGAGCAAATGTAAGTTATGTTTTATTTTAAACTGCAAGTTCCTAAAGTGCAATAATATTATTTCCCCCCCAAATAAACATAACCCAATGTATTTAAGTTTACTAAGTGTATTTTGTACATGATTCCTTCTGCAATGATCCCAAAATAGAGGTTTATAATGTACTTTGTACTGGGATTGCTCATACTGGGGCTGTGAATGACACCCTGATAATGTAAATATCTAACCTTTATCTCCCCAATTACCGTAATGCTCAGTCAGTCATTCAGATTTTAAACCGCAATTTCCATACAGCCTATGTTCCCAGCTGAGTGAGCACTGCCCGGAGTGTGACCCCCCTGCCTCCCCACAGTCACTCCAGTCACCCCAGCAGCTAGCTCCCATGCAGCTACCTGACCCGTGATGTCACAGGAACCACGTGACTACCGGGGGTCACATGGTACAGAGAGAAGCAGGAAGCAGCAAGTGGGAAACTCAAATCAGAAGGAGCTGGTGTGATGAGCAACATAGACTCACACTCTCAGTCTCTGAATCACACACTCTCTCATTCACAAATGTACAATCTGTGTCTGTCTCTTGACCACTCACTCATGTGCTGCCTCTTTTAAAGGGACACTATAGGCACCTAGACCATTTAATGTCAATGTAGTGGTCTGGATGTCCCTACAATGTAAAACACTGCCATTCTACAGAACAGTTATCACTGCAGGGTTTAAATGCCTCTAATAGCTGTCACTTAGACAGCCACTAGAGGCGCTTCCCACGAAATGGTGAAGTAAAGCTCAGCTATTTCAAACAGATGATCGCATAGAAACCATGTTGTGCATGCATAATAGCCTCCCAATGCTTTCTTATGGGAAAGCATGGATTGACTGAGATTGTCGAACTAAATGATCTCAGCCGAAGAGAAAGAACCAGATGCAGAGACAGAAAAGGTGGGGGTCATCTAAACAGTGACTAGGACACTATAGCGTTTGGAATACACATTTGTATTCCTAATGCTATAGTGTTCCTTTAAGCACACTTTCTGTGTCTCTCACATGCTCACACTGTCACACTCACTTGTTCTTTCCCACACACTCACTCTTTCATGCTCTGCCACATACTCTCATACACTCACTCTTTCTCATGCTCACTCACTGTTACCTTCACACTGCCACTCTCACACACTCTATGTCTAACAAACTCATTCTCTTGCTCTCTCAGGTTTTCAGTCATACTCTCCACGCACTTTCTCACATATTTCACCAACACTCTCTCTTTGCTACATTGACTTGCTCTCTATGTGTCACTTTCTTGCTGTAGCGGTACTTACCTTACCCGGGGGCCAGCTGAGGTCCTCTTTTCCCGCCGCGCGCGGCTCTCGAATGAAGGCGGGCACGGACCGCGAGAGCGTGCCGCGCGTCTCGGGCTCCCATTGGCCCCTGTCATCCCACATTCCCCAGACACTCGCATTTTGGGGGCGTGGATATGACTGGGGCCAATAAAAGTAAAGTTTAGGGTATTTATACTTACCTCTCCCTTAACTCCCTGCCCTATCGTGGTTTCTGTTTCAGTTCCCTTTAGCGCTTGTTGTGTTCAGTTGTGATTTTCGTGCTTGACCTTGGCTTTGTATCTGACTCCATTTATCTCTCTATCCCTGTTTTGTCTTGTTTGCCGGCTTACTGACTACTGTGTACCAGACCTTGGCTATTTTTTGATCTCGCAGTCTCTTTGTTCCCTTGAACTTGGCTTGTTCTTGACTCTGTCTATTCTCTGCTATACGGCGAGTCCGGCCATTCTAAGGTCCGGTAAGTCATATCTGCTCTATCTGTCGATTGTTGGACTAAATCTTGCGTGTAGGGGTAAACTACCATGACACTTGCATACTCTCTCCCTCATGCTCTGTCTCTCTCCCACACACTCCCAGTCTATGTTTCTCTCTTGCACTCTCTCCCACATACTCCCTTTTCTCTATGGCTCATTCTCTCTCTTGCTTTCCCACATGTTCATTCTATGTCTCTCATGCTCTCTCTCTTTCTTGCTCCCTCTCCCATACTTTGTCTTTTACACACACTCAATCACTCTTTGTCTTTCCCACTCATGGTCTCGCTCCCACACACTTTTTCATGGTTAATTTCACATTTAAGGCCAGAGCTTAGGCTATTCACTAAATGCTGAATTTTGCCTGGATGAATAAAATTCTATGAAAATGTCCAAATTTCCGACTGGATTGGCTTTTCTCATATTTACTAAAGCTAATTTCAGTCGGAATTTGATCAACCCAACAAAATCTGCACCAGTTGGCAAGCTTGCATTCAGTGTCTGGTCTAAAATAAGTGCTTTTCCCATCTGAAGAATATACAAAGTATAGGATCCAGAATACAATGCACCAATATTAAACATAATCATAATGGATCCAGTAAGGTGCACATTTGCAAATGATAGTTAAAGAATATCTCTATCTGGAAACCTGTGGCCACTGTTATTAAAACTGGCAACTGGTCAGCTATTATTGCCCAATCTCTAAAATATGTCCCATTCCATGGTATTGGGGCCAGTCAGTTGTCCTGGTGGCTTACCTGCCACTGTTTCCATAGTGATGAGTCATTAGTATTGGGTAGGGGCTTAAATAAAAAAAATGGGACTAGACAGGCCACCCATGCCCAGTGAGTGTAGGCTCTATAATAAAATATAGGAAGGGAATTGAGTGTCTATGTTGCTCAGTCTCACACCCTCCATGTTCGTTCTGTTGCCCTGACATTACAACATCCTAGGTTGTCAATTATGATATGAAGCATATTCTAAACCTTAATACCTCTATTCATCTTCTCTCAGCTTAAATGACATATGCCTCAAAAACTGTTCTATATTCCTGTTTGTCTGTGTGACAGAGAAAGACTGAGAGGGTAACACTCAGTAAGTGAGCATGAGCTTTGAAAAGGCAGCATTTAGAATGCCAAGTCTGCAAGTACATACTTTAGACACCAGAACCAGTACATTAAAGGCACACTATAGGCACCTAAACCATTTCATCTCATTGAAATGGTCTGAATCCAGTGTCCCTGTCCCCTTAACCATGCAATGCCAATGTCAATTGCTATGTTTATTAGAATGCATCTAGTGTTTGTCAATAAACAGCCATTAGAGGTACTTAATGCTGTTTCCCAGAGTTAACCACAGTGAAACAACTCTGAATATCCTCACGTTTTTTCATGGGGATGTCCAGTGTCTTTTAAATCCCTATCCCTGTTGAGTTAATGCTTTCCTATGGGGACGGCCTAATGCCCGATTGGCTGATGGAGGAGGAGCCCGACCCAAGACCTAGGGACCTCAGTGCTGGAGTCAGGTAAGTAATTGAAAGGTTATTTAACCCTTTCATAGCTGGAGGTGCGCTGAGACAGAGGGACATTTTAGTATTAGGAATACAGTTTTGTATTCCTAATACTATAGTGTTCCTTTTGTCTGTAGTGGTTCTGGTGGTTACAGTGTTCCTTTCATGTAGAAAGGTCCATTATCAGTATGGGAACTATTTCAGTCACTATTAAAGGGACACTCCAGGCACCCAGACCACTTCTGCCCATTGGAGTGGTCTGGGTGCCAACTCCCACTACTCTTAACCCTGCAAGTGTAATTATTGCAGTTTTTTTATAAACTACAATAATTACCTTGCAGGGTTAACTCCACCTCTATAGAGGGCACTTCCTGCTCTATAGAACAGAAAACCTGTGCTAGAATGTCGCTGGACGTCCTCAGGCTGTGACCTCCAGCGTCGCTTAGTTCCCCATAGGAAAGCATTGAAAAGCATTTTCAATGCTTTCCTATGTGGGGCTCTAATGCGCATGTGCGGCATTGCCGAGGTCAGGGACACATAATGAGACACAACAATTAGGAAAAGCCAAAAGTCAAGGATACCAGAAATCAGGAAGTCAAAACAGAGCCAAAGTCAAAAAACAGAAAAACACGATCAGGAACATACTCTCAAATAACCAGCAAAGGGAAACCACGACAGGGCACTGATCAAAAGGCAATTTGGGTTTAAATAACCCTCCGAAAGCTGTAATTGGCTGTATATGGCCTCTGACCCCAAAACATGCATGCATGTCTATGATGTGACTTCGCATGCACGTAAGCGCCATATTTAATGTGGGAAAAGGCTATTTCCCCATTAAAACCGGAACCGCAGCGGTGGGCGTCTCTAGGAATGCCGCACACGCTGGGGACCGGGACGGAAGGAGGTTGGGTAGTGGTCTGACAGGATCCCACAGAACCGTGACACATGCGTCGTCCAGCCATAGTTCCTCCCATACCAGGCTCTCGAGCTCCATCACCCACTCATCCAGCGGCTGCTCTCCCAGGAGAGGCATCCACAGTGCCACCCGTTTCTGCACTCTCTGCTCTGGGCTTGGAAGCCTCCTCCCCTGTCAAACTTGAGCTCTCTCCAGGGGCCTTGTTCAAGACGTTTTTGCAGACTGCATTCCTCCAATCCGGGTCATTCTCCTCCTCGTATGCGAACGCTTTCTGGGAACTAGCCTGTTCCATACTGCTGAGTTATAGTAGACAGGGACGCTGTCTACTATTGCTCATTAAAGAAGGGTTTCCTCTGTGTGGCTGCCATTCATATTACCGAATGCACGTGTGCAAACAAATGGCGGCCATCTTGTCTCTCGAACGTGGGCAGCTGTATATGGTCGTCGATGGCTAATTTCGGCTATTGGACTCCGCGAACACCCAGTAAACTATTACCGCTGCACATTCAACTTCCCGGACCAGTAGGAGAGCGGCGTTTGGGAGACCTAAACTACCGAACGAGAGAAAGTTCGTATGCTAGCAGCCAGGTGGATGTTACATTCGTGCGAAAACTCCAGAAAAAAGAGCTGTCAAAGCCTAAAATCCTCTGGAACTATTTTGGGGCTTCACCTCGTGGTCGATCTAATCTTCACTCGAATGGCGCTCCTACACTACAAAACGGATCTGAGTGATATTTTGACAAAGTGGGCTCTCAGATCCCTGCTATTCGGTGAACTATCATGGAGTTCTGAGATATGTTTTATGTGGTTTTACAATATTGTATATTTTCTGTACCCTGGAGATAATGAAAATAATGAGTTGTTCTTACTCAATTATCTCCCAGGCACAGAGGAGGAGTCTGTGAACTGTTGCTTTGTCCCTTGTCCCCACTCAGATCCACCAGGGGAAAACCCTGAAATGTAATTTAAGAAACCCCTTGCATGGGGAGTTTCATAAAAGCCAAATGTGGCTGAATAAAAAACATTTGATTCCCAGAACTGTGTGTTGTCCAGTTACTGGGGGGATTGTGCCTTCGATATTGTATTGCTTCCTCAGCTACAAGGAGTCTACAGTGGAGATATTGATGAAAACTGGAGCTCCGCTGCAAGGCTTAATGCTGGGATGTAGTCTCTTTAATGGGAGTACAGGCATCAAATTTATACAGTCAG